TTGCTCTCTACAAAGTGTCTGAGCCTTGCAATGGCAGCTGTATGAGACGGGTTCATCTAGCAGGTATATAAGGTTTCCATACCATACAGTTGACCAGCTAAACATTAAAGCACAATTTGCAGCGGTCGCCTGTTTTCCCAATGTAATCTGAGCGATCTACTGCATGCACATTGCTATAAAGACACTATCTGAAGATGAATTTGCATGCGTGAATCAGAAACATTTCCATTCAATAGATGTGCAAATAAAATATGATGCACAGACTTATTAATGATTCCTACTTGTCTTTCTCGTGATAAACAGTAGGCAAAATCTGATATGTAGCGGGGAAAAAAAGAAGAAAGAGTTCATCAGACGCTGGATTCTAACCGAGTTCATGCTCGAACGTGTCAAAACATGTTGACATGCGTCTTACGAGCTGCGCCACTGAGACTGTTAAAGGTGCTTCAACATTTTACACCTATAAACCACACTATTTCATTACTAATTAAATCAGTGCGATGTTCAGACCCAACTGTGTTGACCGCATCAGCTAAACTCTCCCACTCTATTTTTTTCTTTTGTTGTTAATTGCAGAGAACAAACTTGCAAATAACACCGCTTTTCTCTGGTCTGCCTCCAAAAGCAGCACCTCCAATTCACATTCTGTTCAAAGTTTCTCTTCTTGCTTGCTTTTGCCGTTGCTTTTTCGATGGGTTTTGCCAAAGTATAGTCATTAGCATATTCATACGGGGGAGGAGGCAGGGAGGGGTTTTGTGCTCGTGCATGTTGCGCTCAGTTTCACGTGCATTCGGATGTACAAAAGAATATGCGTGAGATTCGGCGTACGCAGTGTTTCATACATCTGAATTTTTTTCTGCGTACGCACATTTACAGCTTTGTGCGTACGCAATGTTTTAGTAAGATTTCCACGCAAGTCTTTGTACATGAGGCCCCAGGTCTCGAAACGCTTTGAATCGCTTTAGTCACGTGACCAGGTGTTTCGAAACACTTTAGTCACGTGACTTGGGTGCTTCGGATCATGCTTCGGTGCAGTGTTTCGAAACACTTGCGATTCGGGATCCCGACACTGTGTCGAAACGTCAGTTTCACGTCAGCCATCTCTACTGTTTGGTCTCTACCCACTTGTTGTTCGATCATCTGTGCACTGGCTCACCTCTGCTCTGCCCACAGTCCACGCTCGAGTCTCTCCACCATCTCGGCTTCCTGAGGTCTGTTCCTACATTTTTGATTATTTAACCCAGAGGGTCTTTTCGTTTGACCAGTCCATCATCGCCCAGAGGAGGGCTGATCACTGACTGCCTGTGTTCTCTATTATATTTTTGAGTGACTTTCTCCTACTGCGTTTTCAGGGCAGAGTTTTTGATTCACTTCTGTTAAATAAATCCTCTTGAACTTCTCCCTTGCACTTGGGTGTCCTTTATCCTCTGACATCTTGTAGGACACAGGGTTGCAATGTAACCTGCTCACCTATTGTTTACGTTCATAATATTTATTTATTTGCTAATTAATAACCACCTCATGTGGAGCTCTAAATCTGAGTCTCATTTTGGAGTCTGTTAATGTTACTGTCTACCGGAGGTCACATTTCGGTCACGGACGCATGCTTTGAGAGCCTTTGGGAATGAATGAATAAATGAAATAGACTGTGTTTTCCAGGACCCTACGAACCCTGACTTTAGCTGTGCATTTAATTGCCTCACTTTAAAATGTTCATCAGCCAATTAGAATCAAGCATTCAACAGCCCTGCACTATAGAGAGGAGGAACTATGACGTCACTTTGTAGGCTAATCGGCTGCTAGCATTAAACTGGTTCCCTCGTGAAAATCCCTATAGGATTTCCCATAGGGTTTTCGAAGATTGCGAATAATAAGCTCTGTGTTCAAACACTGTTCATTACACTTACACGTTTTGTCCAGCCGGATAATCCTCATACCAAAATACAACTCTGAGCACTTTTGGATCTTAAATACGAACGCAAGAATTGAAAAGCTAACATTAGGCTATAAACGGACTACAGAGCCCTCAGGGCGGTCGTCAGTGACGTCAGCCCCACCCTGCTACAGATGACTTTTCAAGCTTATTTTTTTAGAAATAATGTCCATGACAAAGAGTAAATCTCTCTGTTTATTATATTATAATCCACGCTATATGTGATAAACAAATAAATATGCAAAAACGCATAGACCTATGTGCCTTTTGGATCGTTTTTACATGGGAAATACATCTGTTTTGCTTTACGGTTGATCTAAAAGTTTTAAAACTGTGTGTATTGTAAGAACGGTCTTTATACCACAGCGGTTCGAACTGTAGTTCTGCCGAGTGACTATAAAGTGATCAGCATGATGGTAAAAAACTGTACATTTCTAGTCAAACCATTCTTCTGCAATCTCATACCAAAAACAGAAATAAGGGCAGCATTAATAGCTATAAATGTGGGAGAGCGTTGATATTATGTGATTGTATTGTATTGCAATATGGAACAATTAAATGTTAATGTTAAATCAAAAGTAATTCACAAATACTTGAAAATGAGGTGATTTAATGACAATAAATCTCTATGGTTACAACTGAATTAATAACAAAATACTGTATAAAATGATAAAATATGAAATGATAAAACATATTGTATAAATTGTATCCAGCTTAAATGTAAAATTAAAGTTACCAGAGGTAGAAGGAGAGACACAGGGGGAGGGAGAGAGAGACAAAGAGAGCAGGCCCAGAAGCCTGATTGCAGTAGAGTCAGAGAAGATAGACTCCAGATGAGGAGAGGAAAGGAGCAGGAGAGAAGCAGAGTAGGAAAAGAGAGCGCAGGAAAAGAGCCAGAGCTCGAATTTACCACCTATCTTGTATCTTTCTTGACCATGTGACTAAAGCCATTCAAGACATTCAAACTGACCAATCAACATGTGCCCACACCATAAAACCCCCAAAGTCCACACAACAGGTCCTGATCTTATCCGTTTCTGCCTTTGTAGTCAGTATGGACCTTCTTGAGTCAAAAAGCATGTTTTGTTATATAAACAAATGCATATGATAATTTAGCCTCTTACAGTATGAATCTGCCTACATAGTATTATCAAAGGACACGTTTAAATAAGTGTATTGCTCGTGTGCACACAGCCTGCTTACCTTAACAGATGACAGAAATGAGGCGTGAGGGGCAAGTCTATCAAATTGCCTGCAAGTTCTATAATGGATCGAGAGCAATATTCAATTTTCCTTTTTTGTCACGAAGTACAGTGAAAAGCAGTCCATACAGTCACATCTGCTATACGTTTATGGAGGAGTGTAAATATTGCAGTTATGACAGAGTCAAATGTGTTCAGATGAAGAAAAAAAGATGAAAAATCTCTTGATCACGTTAAAATGACAGTTAACATGTCTGTATTTTTACACAATTATTCACACGTTTGCATTACTGAGAGCAGGACAGAGACAGGCTGCACTGGTGAGCAGTATCTTCATAATATCGTTCAGTTAAAATAAACGATCAACAAAAGAATCTGTCTCGACAGCCTTTACAAGTGAAGGAATTATCTACACACAATCTGAACTCCCAATTAGAAAAACACAACAAACTATAAAATACTATTCATGAAAATACTAAAATAACTGACAAATCCAAATGCAAAACACAAGCGAGCTGCGCTCCAGACCGTCCCCGACACCGCCTGTAGTCTCATTTAGCAACTTGATAGCAACCGTCTTTTTAAAGAAGCGTAACCGATTTAAAAATTCAAAAGTGTGCTGTAACCAGTGGCGTAGCGGACGGGCCCGCAGGGCACGCACTGCGGGGGGGCCCCGCGTGATTAGGGGGCCCCACGTCGTCGCGATTTTCAATAATTGAAAATCCAGGAACCGCAATAATCAAACTCTTGGGAACAACTGTGGTCGGAACCAAAGTTCACAGGTCTGTGTTCTCTGAACTCCACTCAAGCGGTGGACTACTTCATTCTGATTGCTTGCCACAGAACCGCGTCATAGCCAATGAAGACGCACCGCTGTTTCTCGCCGCCGGTTCTCGTTAAAAAATGAATGACTTCTGGCTACTTTGACGCTCTCGCCGCTTTCGGTTTGTGATCGCTCCTCAGTTTGTGAAGGATTCCTCGCGTTGTCGCGCCACTCCGCCTCCTTTCCCCGCTCCTCAATTTGTGACATAGATATATACACTAGATATCGCATAGGGACCCTGAGCATGCGTCTATAGCGCCGCCACATTGGTACAGTGCTCCCAGGACAAATGTCATTCAACCGCACTGGTCAAGACAGTGTTATTACTTGAAGATGCTGGACTTAAGCGCTGTCTAAGAGCGTAGTAACGAGCAAACAAAGAAAACAAAGCACAAAGGCAGAACATTTCATAGGTAGGATTAAGTTTTTTACGTTTTTGTATGTTTTGAAATTTGTGCTAAACAGGTAACGTTATTGATGAGATAATAGCTATAGTCACTTACTGCATTCACCATAAGGCAAAGTAGCACCAACTCGCACTAAACACTCGGTTTATACTAGGTTTGTTGAATAAATCAGCAAACAATGCAAAAGAAATATGACAACCAGATGCTGCGCTGCCAGAAACTTGTATTATTGTCGGCTAGCGAACGAGTCGTTCATAACGGAGATTCATTCACAAACAAATCGCTCCCTCCGTCAGTATGAGAAGTGAAAGCAGGAGAGGAGGTGTATTTCAGCACATGATTAGATCAAATTTAACAGGGAGAGTGAGGCCTCCGCATTTTGTGCTACGCCACTGGATGTAACTGATGTGTTTTATGTCGTAGAACAAAACGTGAAAGTATCTTGAGTTTGTGTTATACACAAACCTTATTTAAGCGATTTTACTGAAACCCCATACAAAAAACCCATTGACTTTGGGACGAGGGAACCGGAAGTGCTAAAATGCTAACTCGCTTCCGGGTATTTGCATACAAATTGACGTCATAGTTCCTCCACTCTATAATGACGACTATGATAGTGAAGAGTGTGTTCTTACCGCACAACACATCTGTATTTTCCCTGATGTTGTTTGCTGACGTTGAAGAACCACAGTGAGTTTTCCTTCAGGATGACGCTGTGCTCCACTGCTGTGATCTCTGAGCCGGTCTTCACATTGTACCAGCTCACATTATATGATGTTTCTTCAGGATCGAAGAGATAGTCGATCGACAGTGGACACTCCAGAACAGACGCTTCACCGGGAAGAGCGAAAACACGCTCGAATGCTAATCCAAAGTCCTGGCAGGATTCTGTTTAGAAGAACATGCATGAGGATGATAAATATTAAATAAAGCAAAGCAATGGAAGACCATAAAAAAGACTGTGAGAACTAGGGCTGTGCAATTAATCGAAAATCCGACGATTATAAAAACGATTATAAAAAACCAATAATCGAGATAAACGATTATTCCATTATTTACCGCCCCCTTTCCATTTGTTGGTTTTAAAAGCGCAAACTAAACTGCATGCTCCTGTGTATGTGTGTGTGCGGCGTGCGGCGTTTGCATTTAGTCACAACAGCAGAAACCGTTGCTAATTCACCAATGTCACTTTAAAGCTGGTGATTACAAAACAGCTCATTTTGCTCACATTTTAAGATTATAATCTAGAGATTTCCCAGTATTTCTCTGTTGCAATCCCAATATTTATTCCCAAAAAAGCTAAAGCAAAGCAAACACTAGCAGATTACTATAGTATAAATACAGCACTACAACATACAAAAGAGAGAGATCGA